AAAGTTGTTGGCAGAAAATAATTCAAGAATTTATTTAGCCTCAATATGTATGGTAAATGGATAGTAAGTAATGGCAAATACATTCTGAAAAGGGACCCTTCCTCACTGAAGTTAGGTGACAAACATGGCTTCTAAAAATAGACATTTTATAGCTTGGGGTAGTTTGAATATGTTTTTAATCGAAATTAATCACCAAATCCGACAGTTTGTACGTGGGGAAGTATCTTTAATCGTATTCATTTTTTTGATAATAATTTTTTTGATACGAAAAACATTATGTACAGTAAAAGTTTGTAATGTGATAATGTAATTATAAAGGGGAGGGGTGGAGTTAATATTAGTAGACAAGAGCATCAAGAGATCAACTTGATTGAAGACGGTCACTGATGCATGAAATACCTGGTCTATGATATACCTGTATAATTATGAGTGGCCCAAGTAAATCTTTCAACTTATCCCTTTTTTTATTAAAACACGATTAAACACTGGTACATTGTCGCACGAAGGCGACGCATGGTCGTGCACAGATACGTACGTCAATAGCTTGTCACGGTCGTAGATTAACAACAATTATATGTATTTACATACCAAAAGCGCGAGTCGACGTTGCGGTAGATGTGTGGTGCCGATTTATTATAATAAATGGGTGAATCGAGTACAAGTGTCTCTTGTGTATTATTGTATATATGTATGTTTTATATACACCGTTGTTAATGATATCATTATGTCTGTTATGACACATCCACAAAATATATTAGAGACTCCCAGAGAGACATTTGCTAGGACACTTGGTACAGTTGGCAATGGCAGCTGAACACTTCTGGTGGTCTGATAAAATTGATTCAGTTGCATTTCGTTATTGAACTCCAAATATACAGGACACAATTTTGGGGAATACAACTCTCAGGGCCCGTTGTAGAAAATGCGGGGCCTAATTTGGGAGGGCCGAAGTTACAGGAGATGAATAAATTGCAGGATATGAATAAGTTTAACTAGGCCTATATTCATTTATATTTAAAGATACGTTATCGAAAATCAGATAAAGAGCTGGCAGTTCTCACTATAATAGTTAAAAACTAGATAATGTAAAGGGAATTTGCTGAAATTTCAGTCAAATTGATCCACTCTAAATCGAGAATTTAGCGATTGAATTTTGGGCCTAGCCTCGATCATCATTACTAAAGTCGGTACGATAAAAAAAACCCCAACATAGTCTCGATTATCCATTTTTTTAATATAATTATCAATGGGCGTTGAGCAGCAGTTCGGATTCTAATCCAGTAAATATCGCAGGCTAGCGATGGTATCGAGAGTTGATCATGGTCTGGATAAGTTAATTTAATGTCTAATTAATAATTTAGATAACATTTCAGGCCTAAAGAAAAACCTGTAATTGGCTTGCATAATGTATGTTTAAGGCCAACTATGCTTTAATTTACAATAATTAGTAATTGATTAATACATGGGTGTTTTACTGTTGGTGAGCTGCGGGGCCCCTTTCTAGTGCGGGGCCCAATTTGGGAAATTGGTCAAATTAATTGTGCCAAAAAGTGCAAAAACCGGTCCTGACCTCTGACAACTATTGTTTATATTACTTATGTTTCTTTATCACGCGTCATGAGCACGTTTCGGCTAGACATTTCTATTCCTTGTCAGGCAATGCTAGGAACGTTGATCAGTATGACCATCTTGGATCCACGGCAATGGCGTGTTTATCTCATAGTGTCGTCTACTACTAAATACTACTTCAACGAATCTGTAAAACATATTGCTAGCCTATTGATTAGTAAAATCGGTTTTTGAATTAATCGAGACATTTGCGGGTATCGTGCGCGTCACACGGCTTGCTTTCCTTTCTTAAACACCCGGTACCACTTTACGAAATTTTCGTCATGTGGCGACCACTGTCGTTACTCGAGTTTTACCGAATTCGAATTCAGCCACGATTGTGCTTTATTTTTAATGTCGATATTGTCACATAAGAAACTTTGAAGTTTAAGAAGCTTTCCCATATCACAGCCCAACTGAACTGACTGATACAAATTAACATACAATTATTTACAGCTATATGTAATAGAAGCCGATGTGGTTTCCCCCTGTCTCAGTGTGGTGCAGTTGTCTAGTCGGGACGAAAAACCGAAGTCCCGTGTGCACATTGGCGTAAACGTAAAAGATCCCTTGGCAGTTGGAATTCTATATAAGATTAGGCCGTAGCGAGGTTGTCCGGGAAAATTTCCCTGATAGACACTGCATGACGTATGCCCGTCTTCGTTAGTCCAGTCGGAACAGAACAGTAGGATGTTAAACCCCCTTTCACTTAATTTCATTTCCCTTTTCAGTGGTGCAGGGGAAAGCCCCGTGTATACGTCGGTGTGCACGTAAAAGAACCCTTGATAGTTGGAATACCAAATAAGAGTAGGCCGCATATCACATTGCATGGCGTATGTTGTTGCATAGAAGTAAGACGTTAAATCCCATTTCATTTCATTACATTTCATTTGTAATAGAATTCGTCCAATTTCCAGTACACTCAAACGTATTCATCTATTCATTCACCGCCTGCAGCATACGGCGTGAAGTGGGTAATAACCACCGCCTCCCATAGACCAAAAACAAAGAAATATTCATCTATGAATGAATTTACAACTTACAACTTAACAGCCCACGTGCAGTACATCTTACGATTGCCAGTCCTAAACTGCAATGAGAACTTGTAACATAATTTGAAACAATGGATCGTCTGTGAAGAGACGAACAGATCCTTTTGAATTAATTAAAACGGAAATCATAAGATAGAAGATATTGATTGAACGGAAATATATCCTCGCCTACAAATTAAATTAGATCAAGACAACACTTTGTTTCATTTTGACAACTTATGTTTACCACATCCGCCATTTTATTTCAGTTTACAACTTAATAATTCTCACAATATTCATGAAATACTAGTACTAAGATTTAGTTCATAAAGATTGTATTATTATTATTAAATATTCCCAGGATGGTTTTCAACGTAAATCTAGTATCTGGAAATACAGCAAGCTAACAAGGAGCTTGATGTTCCCCGCCCAAGGGAGTGCCGGTGGCTCAGTGTGCCAGACGCTGGCTCGGTGACCACGAGGTCTTGGGTTAGCTTGCGCTGCTGTCAGAGAAAATTCCTCTCTATCTGGTAAGGACATTGTCTATTCGTTCGAATGCGAAGAAAACACGATTTTCCGTGTGTACTTTGGTGTGCACGTAAATACGAAATAAGAGTAGGCCGTAGCGCCGCTGCTGGGCAAAATTTCCCTCATAGCATAGTATATAGCGGAAACCTGCCTTCCTTAGCTCCGTCGATGAAGAAAAGTAGGACGTTAAACCCCATTTCATTCCGTTTCCCGCCCCAATCCCAAAATGAATGGGAGCCACGATGGCTCGCTGATCGTTAGTCTGGAGGTTGCGGGCTCGCTCCCGGTTTTGGCCGAGAAAATTCATGATGATTTTCCGGCGTGGTTCCCCCTATTCAGTGGTGCAGGACGGAGGGTCTGACAAGGACAGCTGTCTAGTCGTTCGGAGGGGACTAAAAAGCGAGGTCCCGTGAACGCATTGGCGTGCACGTAAAAGATCCCCTGGCAGTCGGAATTTGATATAAGAGTAGAGCATCGTACACGGTATGGCGTAATATCCGTCTTCATTATCCCAGTCGGAGTAAAACTATAGGACGTTAAACCTAATTTGTTTCATTTTCATTTCTCAAAATGAATATATAACATTCATTAATTTCTTGCTCATTTATCTTTTTGTAAAGCACTAAAGAATCAAACTTTGGCAGCAAATGCTCAGCAACGCACTTAGTTAAAGTATTGATGTAATGCAACTATTCACACAGTTTCATAAGTCGTACTCAATGAAAAGTTTAGTTATCGTATCCCAAGGCACTGACAAATCAAATTGCTTATCTCTGCTTTTCTTTGTTCATCATCGAGCTCAGTCAAGACAATCACCTAATGAACAGCATCATCAAGTTTGAACATTCCACCTCTACCTCAGTTAGAAGTAATTTTATATTGTCCCAAACGTTAAGGACAGGCGGATGGACGTACCCATTCTAATAATTGCCTGCTTTCTTCGAAAAGCGGATGAGAGAGAGAGAGAGAGAGAGAGAGAGAGAGCGCACACACATACTATGTTACGGGATGAACATATATCAATAACTAACTTGCACATTGGGATCGTTAGTGGGAGGAAACCGGAGGATCCATGGAAAACCCATGAGGTTAGGCACGTACGAGCCTGGGTTCCAAACACAAGATCATCAACGTAAGCACCACCTCCTCGGTCAAACTAGTTCCGGTACTGATGATAACAACAAACAGATTGAACCTTCCCCTGTAATATGTTTACAAAAAACTTACATAATTAACTCTGTATGCTTTGTAGTATGAACTTAGTGACAGTTTAACTTACACCATCCTATCACAGTGACCCCTAAAGGTCACGACTAGACCGACGACAGATTCCCCAGTCCCACATAATGATGAATTCTACTATTCCAGATCACGTAACAATAGTACAGTTTAAGTCTTAAGTAAACAAAGTTACAAAGTTCATTTCGTAACGCAATTAATTTCGCCCAGTTCTTGTAACCCGTGTGGTTTTACTCCGGATATAAAGACCGTGGGAGATTCTGCATCTTGTTAACGACGCGCATTTTCTTTTCCCGCGAAATGTCCAAAGAACGGTCACTCTAAATCTTCCACTGTAAAGAGGAACGTCGCCCTGGACTACAACAATACGCTTAATTTGGGCATTGATTCTTATCTGAACTTCAATCAGATTTTAAACAGATTCAGTGGGATGTAGTATTTATATTTTGAAGTAAGTAGAGATAGTGTTATGTTATGATTCGATTCACACCCACGCTATTACTGTAATATAAACTAAATAAATTGGTGACTCATGTTGTGGTTAGCGAGTTTTCCGGCAAATTGTACAAAAACCCCGTTCACTTAGTAATATAAGTTTATTACATATATTCTAGTGACTGGTGTCAGGTCGCGAGATTTAACTTTAGTTTAGTATATGATATAATATTTGCGAGTGAGAATGGGATAACTTAATCAACTTATCTGTGAAGAGTCATATCAACTCCCATCTATGTTAATATATAATCACGTTATTTTACGAAACAGATCAACACATTAACGTAAGTTTTTATTTTATTTTCTGTGTTATTGACTATTAAATACCAGTGTTTCGGTGAGCATGGCACCAGCTCACTAGAAAGGAAAGTTTCGATCCCGTTGTGGTTGGCCTTCTTTCAGTGGTGCAGAGGACAAGTGTCTAGTCGTTCGGATGGTACAAAAACCTGTGTTTGTGTGTGTGTGTGGGGGTGGGTGTGTGTGTGTGTGAGAGAGAGAGAGAGAGAGAGAGAGAGAGAGCGCGCAATGCATAGCGTTTGCCAACTTTCATTAGCCTGATTGGAGCAGAAAAATAGGACGTTAAAATTTAAATCCAATTCATTATTTTAAAATGAGAAAAGATTAAACAAGACAAATAAGACAATATAGTCTATGGATGTCCAGACCAGGGCAGTATATCAAAGATCTGACATATAACGATGGAAATTATCTTTAAATTGTTTTATTTTGATTTCTGTTGCTTCAATATAACTTTAATATGTTCAAAATCACGCTAAAACCGGTTCACAGCAAATGTGAAAACAATTTATAATATTTTATTTTTACGAACGATAGTCACAGTGACATTTTTGGCTCTTAAAAATAGAATAAATGTATTCATGAAACTGGGAGAAACATTGGTAATAAAGTAATTAATTGAGAATATATTCACACTGACTCCCGGATCCATTCACTTGAATTGATATTAAGTTTATTTCTTGAAATGTCTGTGTAGTTTGTCTTGTCCACAGGTTTGTCTTATTGGTTTTGATTGTGTATAGCGCGGTTCTCCTGCACTTACTATTAATTAAAGGGGACAATTTCCGTTGCGCCAATGTAGCCTATTCTGGCTGACATGTAAATTATTGGCAACTTATTCTACAAAGGAAATGCGATACAGATGCACAAAACTTCCAACTTTTATTTATAGTATGTACTTGACAATAACAATACATAGACCCCATTCACTTATCTTTTGATATTCAAATCTCCGTTATTTTACTTTCCTTTTAAGACATATTCACCTTGTTTGTCTCAAAAAACAAGTGGATTGAGCAACTGGTTGATATTTGAATGTTGACATAACATTTTAAAAATCTTTTAGAAACTAACTATGATTATATTGAACTCATTTCAAGATCTTTGCATTACGAATGTAATTCAAAATCTAAGTCGGGGGGTTTTAGCTAAAATTTTCCATGGCCCCTAAACGTCTTTATGGTTAATTCTAAAAATTAAAGTCAACTGCAGATTTCGTCAAGTTCGCGAGATGTAAACAGGGCCAGGGCACGTGATTGTTGACGAGATTGTTGGTTAGGGTTAGGTCTAGGTCTAGTGAACCCTGCTCTGTTTACATCTCGTGTCGTGACTTTTGATCAAACCTGCAGTTGACCTTTATATTTAGAACTAACCCTCCTTTATACATGTTTATGGCCTGCCACAATCGATCTTTTCCAACCCCCCCCCCCAAAAAAAAAAAAAACAAAAACAAAAACATTTCACACAACAGAACTCATGTATGGCTAGGGGTTCGTGGAAATTTTGCTCGGACAGCGGCACTACGACCCATCTGAACGACTAATGTATCACAGAACATAATATGTTTCTTAAAAAAAAGTCTTTGAAGATAATTTGGTGCTTGATTGTGAAATAGATGATCAAAATGTGTCACCGAAACATCTTCGTTTAAAATAATTTTGTATTTGATTACGGTACATTGACGAGCTTGGTATTTATTATAAATATGGTTATTCCCACGAATATGTCCAAACAAAAAAGCTTTGTTTGATTATGGAATATTGACGAGCAAGATGTTGGTAATAAATTTGGTTTTTCCCATAATGACTAATAAAATATAAACCTATGACTAAATCAATTATATCAAAATTTATTTCTAACACGTGACGACTTTTCGTCATTTCAGCAGATTCTCTTCTCACACCCAACCATTGAATCATTTTATTCCTGTGTAAGTTTTCACATTGACTCACATATAGCTAGTCAGAAGTTCGGCAATTGATGATGTAAATAGTTTACAGAGAACATACTCCAGGTTAAAGACAAAGATTATAATGACTACAATATGACCGATTAAATACATTTTTTTAAAACTAGTGCACGTGCAAATATTTATAAAAAAAGAACCATCCTATATACATTTATCACCCAGATGATTCGTATTAAAAGTAACATATTTTTTTGCTCCGAATGCGTTAATAAAGACTGACAGACGCCATACAGTGTGCTATGAGGGAAATTTTGCTCGGACAGTGGAATTATAGATTTTGTGTCTGGACATTGAAACACAAAAAAAGATCAGTTTAGTGACGGACACGAATAATGATGTCTGTAACAGGTGCCTGAATTTCTAGGTTTGGTTCCTACTGTTAATGAGTATATCTTATATTTAATTACAGAAAACAAAGACGACTAAATGAAAATGGCTTCTACAGATTTCTACAATGTAGGCGGCAACGTTCAACAAGTCTATGATTTTTCTTCAGTCCAAGATAGGCCTACGCGAGTCCCTTCAACTGAATCGTACTACTCCAATCTTACGTTTACTGATTTTCTCAACAGTTTTAACGAACCATCTTTATACGAGGACTTGCAATCAGTTAAACAATTACAGCCATGTTACGAAACGACCTTTCAACCGTCCTACCAAGCGTATCAAAGTCCACTGCCATTAAAACGTCCACCAAGTTACGAAGAACACATGCAAATGGAAGCCAACAAAGTTCTCCCAACGCCCATGACAACGACTAGCCAATCAGATGATCCGGTGTCTGGGTTATTGAGTGACGTCATGGATTGCATCTTGTCCGAAAAATCCAAAGAGGAGGAGAAAAACGGTGAGTTTTAAATTGTCAATGACGTGTCAAAAAATAGCACACAGGTCAGATTACGACCCTAAATTTTTATAACGCAAACATGAACACAGAGCAGTACGGAGTTCCATGTCAATGTTGGTTCAATATTATCTGGATATAATTTGAAGGGAGCTAGAGGGCGATAAATCGGGTTTAAAGTCCACTCGATACAAACTAGATCATGCCTGGACCAAAATTTTTCATTTTAATAATTCGCTTGCGAGAAAATGGGAGAAAACTGTAGGATACACACGTGACCCCACTCCTTGTCAATGTCACGTCCAAACGGGGAATCGAAACCACGCCACTTGACTCAATGACATACCTTGGAATATAAAGTGCACGCGTTAGAACCCCATCCCCCACTCGCATTGATCATTGACGATCAAATATTTTATAATATATTTTAAATTTTTTGCAGGTAAGAAAGCAGCCCTGGTACAACTCAGACGACTAGCGACATTATTAGTTTCAGGTTAGTTTTAACAGACAAGGGACTACGTATAGTCGTTCGGAAGGGAAGAAAAACCGAGGTCCCGTGTACATATTGACGTGCACGTAAGAAATTTCTTGACAGTTGGAATTCGATATAAAAGTAGGCCTTGGTGCCGCTACCCGGGCTACATTTCCTAGTTATATTGCGTATGCCAGTCTTCATTAGCCCAGTCGGTGCAGAACAGTAGGACGTTAAACCCCATTCCGTTTCGATTTCATTTATTACCCCTTCCTCTTGGATTGCCATAGCAACCGGGGAAGTGGGGGGGGGGGGGGGCATAAAAATGAGAAGTAAAACAAAAATAGTGTCTCTGACTGAGGTGTTATCTAAATTATGATTAAAATTTCAAAAACAGGATCAAATTGTTTTTTAACTGTCATATAGGCGTCTTCTTGCAAGCCACAATCCGTAGTTTTGTTATCAGGGGCATTATTCACAAAATCTTAAACTAATTATTTTAAGAATTCTGCCGTATCATTGGCCAAGGGCTACAATTTGTACTAGGATTTTAAATCTCAACCAATGAAAGGGCTGCATCTTTAAAATATTTTAATTTAAGTTTTCGTGAATAAGGCTCCATATCCGGTATTGTAAAATATATGCGTTAATTTTGTACAATCTGATTAAAACACAGATCCTATTTTGTTTCGTTTTTTATAGTTCAAAATTTCGTTTTACTCGTCTTCACAGCACTAGAATCTGGAAGAGTAGTTATATAACAGGTGTTCTAGTTGATGTGAGGAATTAGCTAATGAAACGGTCTGTTACGGCGAGTTCTTGGCGTGCTCTGCACGGAACTGTGGGTAAACCCCTAATCAATGTCTAGCGTCATAGGGTCAAAAGCCGCTCGTATGACCCCTGACGCGACCTTTCATGTAGTGTAGGCCATCGAAAGTATTAAAAAAAAAAACGAAATATAGATCTGTATTTTTATCAGATTGAATTTTGTGATAAATCAAAATCACCAGACACGAAAAGTAGTTGATAATCAGAATCAATTTTCTTTGTGGGGTTTTCATGTCTTGTCATTTTGATTAGTCAACGAGCAAACTTTGGGGCCAATTAAAACGATTGATTCTGGTTACTATGCGATGTAGTTACTAATGCTCAATAACATTACTTCAGTAATATTATACTATTAGGCCAAAACCTCAGATATAGCATAAACACTAGATATTAAATTTTCACGTTTTTTTTGTTTTAGGCGGAGGCCAACTCCAGTTATGGCAATTCTTGTTGGAACTTCTGACAGAGAAAGAGAATGAATGTTGTATTAAATGGGAAGGGACCCATGGAGAGTTCAGAATGACAGACCCGGAAGAGGTAGCTCGACGATGGGGTCAAAGACGTAATCGCAAGAACATGACATATGATAAAGTGAGCCGTGCTATGCGTTATTATTACGATCGTTTGATTCTAACGAAAGTGGCGGGGAAAAGATACACTTACAAGTTCAATTTTAAAATGTTGTTAAAAATGCAGCGTAATTTTACGACTCCCGTCACGAAACCAAAGAGCAGTGAACTGGAACGAATTGTGATCTCATCAGAACGATTTCCGATTGTCGTTAATAAACTTCCACGTAAGCCAACCCCTTCGCCTGACCTGTCGACGTCGCCGACGACAGTTTATAATAAACCAGTAGGCGAGGCGAGGGAATCAATCGCAATCAATCAGCAGCCGTGTGACATAAACATGGATTATTACAACTACAATCAACAGTATTATACCAATAATCCCAGTTGTCCCCCTTTGACATACGTCGATCAGTACAACACGTCCTATAATTACTATTCCGAAGACAATAACTCATATGATTGTAATTTCAATTTTGACTTTCTGTGACGAATTCTAATCTGAGTGATCGATAACTTATACCGTGACACTAAGCATTGACGAAACGGATACTTTCTCTTGTCCAGCAAGGACAACGAATCATCATCATCATCATCATCATTTGTATGATAAATTGGAAATTATTATTATGTAAATAGATAAATGAATAAAGTAATAAAAGCGACCACTTTTAATGTTCCATAATCATCATCATCGTTTGATAAATAAATAAGAGACCAATTATATAGTGCCAATTAAATGTTTTAATATCGTTTTATCTTTTGCTGAAATTTATTATTTATAAATAAATAAATATGTACATATATTACGGTGTCCCATTATACAATGCTTGTTATATTATTAATATATTTTATCCATTTTATATGATTATATTTTATAATTTAAATATATTTCTATACATTTTATTAAATAAATATCTGTTTATGTCTTGTTATTTTGATGTTTTTGTATTTAAAAAGCTTTAAACAATAATGTATAACTTTTTGTTTTTAGTATGGGGAAAGGGTTGGAGGTATAGCCGCTATCGAGGAATATGGCATACCACAAGGCATAGTACTTGGGGCCAATATCATGTATAACCTTTATTTAAAGCACAGAACGTACTGTAGTATTCGACAATCCAATAACGGAATGGAACTAAACAATGTTAACCCTGCTTTTTGCTGAAAAGAGTATCGAATCGGATATATTTGTAAAAATATGTAATTCTGTAACTCCTTATTTTATAATTTCACAATTCAAAAGTGCTACAACTATAAGCTTCTTCATATGTCAGATGTATTAAAAGAACCACGTTTGAAAAATACCATGTCACTACAGATTAACGTAAATGCAAGCATTAACAACTTTTCCCAATCTGATTAAAATAAGATGTCAAATAGCGTCAAATATGTTAAAAATAAAAAAATAAAATAAAAAAGGAATCGTAATCTATTAAATTGATTGTTTTTCTTCGAATCCCTCATGCAAGTTTTCATAATTAAAAAATTATTAATATACGGGCTGAATTTAAAATCCACCAGTTGGTTGCACTCGTTTATTTTGATTATTGAATGATTCATAATAAATGAAGTAAGAGCGTGAGATATAGAATAAATTAATCAGATTATCACAGTCCAGTAAATCACCCCCGACATTTATTATAAAGAGGTTTATAAACAGGTGTAAGCAGGTGCTACAATATCATATATCATACCTACTTGTATTGCAATTAAACAATGTCTCTTTTGTAATAAGCAGAGCTCTGACACGGTGTGACACGGTGTGGGCGGATAGATCGGGTTATCATGTTGACATAGCCTTGATTGTCATAGCATCTCCTTTCATTTATAAGATAACTAAATCTATTCTTGGAGAAACGAAGACACAGGTGTTCACTGTCTGGAGTTTAATAAATCGGTCATTTTCAGAACATACGGACAATTTGCTGTAGCCACATCTCCCATGTAGGGGAGAGGATTTTTGACCGGGAAGCAGCGTGTTTGTGCCTATTTATTTTATCGTTTCCAACCGTCAAGAGTTATTTTACGTGCACTCCGGTGAGTACTTGAGTGAACTCCGGCTTTTTCGTTTCTTTGCATTGTCATCCCGGCTTGCACCACCCCTAACAAACAGAGATTGGGCTAAATAAATCCACATGTTCTCTTGGCAAAAGCCGGGATTCGAACCCGGGCGATCAAATCGACAGTTCAGTGTTAATAACACTCGACTTTCGCGACCCCGCTATGTTCAGAAATCTAACGCAGTGTATGTTTTTATGAAAGAGAATTTGAACATCTTCTCACAAAATAACATTTGATAAAACTGTTAAAAGCTGTCTTCCGTTTCTTAACAGATGTTGATGTTTTTAATTCGACGACGATGAAGGCACGACATTTAGATTAATTTTGATGCATGGATGCGAAATCAGAACAAACTTTCTATAAAATACGCTTTGATGTTGAGAAATGCACCATTTCATAAATTCACGCTTTCTTCCTCAGTTTGTATTGATGTTATTACTTGTCATTGAGGTAGGTAACATTTGGACTTCTATTTGTTTTGTTGTCAACAAAAAGATGACTAGGATTCAACGCTATACAAATATTTAAGAACGCGGAGTTTTGTTGTTCAATAATTAAACTAGATAAAAAGAGTAATAGAATATCAGATATAAATGAACTCGTGTTTTGTGTGTCTGTGTATCAAATATTTAAGTACACCGAGTTGTGTTATTAAATAATTATACTAGATTAAAGAGTAATAAAAATGAACTCGTGTTTTGTGTGTCTGTGTATTGAAAGAGTAAGAGCGTGAATGTAGGTTTTTTTTGTGTGATTGACAAGTAGAATGATGAGATGTCAAACTATTAACTATAAAGCCGGACCACCACGAGTAATTGCACACGGAGACCACCCATTAGTTGTACTAATAGTCATGCGCGATGGTCATTATGTTTCCTCAGACTGAGCTGATTTAAGAGATCTACCACAGAGTTACGTGACAATGCTGTAATATGAATTAAATATATCTCGTATTTCGCTGCGTAATGCAGTGATCTGTATTGCTGGAATATTGAACAGGATGTCGTGGTGCAGTCATAGTGTTTAGAAATGAAATGAAATGGGTTTAACGTCCCACTGTTCTGCGCTGACTGGGCTACTGGAGACACACATACGCTTATTTCGCATTCCAACTACCAGGGCTTCTTTTACGCGCGTGCAAGCGTCCCATCCGATCGATTATACGTTGTCCCTTGTCAGGCCCTCCTGAACGTTCTCGGCTAACACCGGGATCGAACATTGTACCTCCAGACTAGCGAGTCAACGTGTAAATCACCGAGCCATCGCGGCCCCTCACCGTATTTAGAATGGGATCAATCTGGAAATAGAGGTCTAATAGTAAGTTTATGGGACACACATATTACACAGACATTGCACGCAATAAACAATCAACATTATCAAATCAATTGAATGGATCCGTTGGCCAGCATAACGGTCATGCCAAACACCGGAACCACGAAACCAGACTACGGAACCAGTGATAGAGCCTACACACGTCTACTGAGTATTGGTTCTTGTCCGATGATGACTATATCCAGATTATCTGGATCAGGTTGTTTCATGAAGATATTGGATTGGAATATACCTTTATTCAATTGTATTTTGTAATTGATGCATATTTTGATTAGTTTTTTGTTTTGTTTTGTGGGTATAAAGAAGTAGTAAATCGCAATAATTGACTCTTTCTTCCGTCGATAGCAGATTTGATGTAATTGGTGCATACGTGTTTTACAAATCAAAGAGGAGCCACCTCGATCTCCTACAATTTTACCAGGCAGTGCTAGCACCATAGGGAGTCTTATTCTTCTCTTCTACGTTGTCACCGGATTCAACCGTCAATAATCAGAATCAGCTGTTATTGTATTCTTGGTATCAAAATCCCGTTAAAAAAAATGGACGTTGTATCTGTAACCGTGGTACAATTGACGTGCACCCACCGAGACTTTAACAGGAGAGTACCAAAGCGTACTTTTGATCAAATCGGTGAACAGAGGAAGCATGTCTGAACAAACAGGAAAAAAACCCAGACACACGGACACAATTTCTGCTACTTCAGCATTTCATCAACAGAATCTCGTAGATTCCAGAACGAAATAGATGCACCATAAAGTTAGCAAGCCTGGGTGGTGTTAAAAGACATAGATTCAGCCAGTCTAGATGGTGTTAAAAGACATAGAATTAGCAAGTTTGGATGGTGCTAAAAGACGTAGAATCAGCCATTCTAGATGGTGCTAAAAGATAAAGAGTAAGCAAGTCTAGATGGTGCTGAAAGATATAGTCAGCAAGTCTGGATGGTGCTAAAAGACGTAGAGTCAGCAAGTCTGGATGATGCTAAAAGACATAGAATCAACAAGTCTGGATGGTGCTAAAAGACATAGAATCAGCAAGTCTGAATGGTGCTAAAAGATATAGAGTCAGAAAGTTAGCAAGTCTGGATGGTGCTAAACGACATAGAGTTAGCAAGTCTAGATGGTACCACAAGACATAGAGTCAGCAAATCTAGATGGCGCTAAAACTATCGGATAATAAAATGTGATATGAATTAATTATCCTCAATTAACTGAGTGTAAGGATTGCGACAATATATTTTTATGTTCACGATACAAGGAAGATTAAAAGGTCGTAAAGTGTACAAGTCTATAATAGTCGGCTACAATAATCCACATGTTTGTCACTTTTATTGTGACCTACGACCTTTACTATGTATCGTATTACTCATCCTACTATCGCTGTATATAAACATGTGACTGGAGGCTAAAACTAGGGGCGGATGCTTGAGAAAGTGTCAGATAACAAATGAGAAGAGAGAGAGAGAGAAGAGAGAGAGAGAGAGAGAGAGAGAGAGTTTAACGTCCACTGGACACAAACTAGGTCATTTCGGGACTAACACGTGGTTGAATTTTATTTCAATAATTCCCTTGGGCGTAGGCGTCTTTTAGCAGTGGGAGGAAACCGGAGGACCCGGAGAAAAACCCACGAGGTTGGACAGGCGCCCCTACTCCTTGTCACGTACAACCGGGGAATCGAAACCACGCCAGTTGACTCAATGACAGACCTTATGATACAACGCGCACGTGCTAACCATTCGGTCATCCATCCCCCCCCCCCCCACACATGAAACGAAATGTAATGGGGTTTAAAGTCCTACTATTCTGCACTGACTGGGCTAATGAAGACGGGCACACGCCATGCAGTGTACAATGGGGGAAAATTTGCTCGAACAGCAGCGCTACGGCATCCTATTATGTATATTGAATTCCAACTACCAATGATTCTTTTATGTGCATGGGACCTCGGTTTTTCGCCCCCCCCCCCGTCTTTCACCACTGACCAGGAAACCACACTGGTAAATCACGAGGGACTATCTCGGCCAACACCGGGATCCAACCCAAGACCCCCTGGATAGTGAGACGGCGTCTTACCCACTGATCCACCGCGGATCCAAATTACAGCAAGTTCTGACGTGTTCGAGGTAAAGAAGCTAAGAATAGCCCGAAGCGCCTCTGTCGGATATTAATTTACAGGTAATGGAACTGATCGGATGTTTATAAAACAGTACCACCGCTTTGTAAAGGCACTCAAATTATTATTCATAAATACAAAATAACAATTGTTGGGTAGTCCCAAATCTTAATCAAATGGCGAAAGAGGTTTTGGCTATGCTGGTGAATTTCAATGTGGCGTTCCAAAGACGTGAAACGTCGCTGCTGAAATACAAATCATGTTATTCTAAACGAAACAAAAGATGTGGGGTGCACTCGACTCAAGGTGTCGCACAATTCAAAATGTTA